AAGAGCGGTGACTGGTGGAGGCAGAGGAATCATGCTTCAGGGATGAAAAAGATGCGTCGTTTCTCATCATTCCCCATTAGAAGTCATTTTAAGGCTGCATTTTAGAAGCAACTGCATTAAAAGAACCCTGGTGTCAACTGCTCTGGTTTCCTCTTGCTTTATTCTTTAGTGACACGGGTGCTGGTGCGGAGCAGCAGCGGAGTGGGGCTGGCAGGGTGACGGCAGCGCCGCACCAGGAATGTCTGGCTCCCGGCCTGTGTGAAAGCTGCTGCCTGAAGGAAACCTGCCCAATATTCTGCGCACGGAGAGACTGCGGCTGGGGGTGGGACTCGGGGGGCTGATGGGCAGTGCCGGGAAACCAGACAGTCAATGTTTGCTTGTTTGAGGACTGGCCTTTTTCTGCCCATGAATACCCGTGTGTGTGCAGCCGCGACTCTACCCCCAGCCCGAGGCTGTTTGTGGTAGGTCACAGCACCAAAAAAAAAACCCCAAAACAATCACCTCAGGGAGGCATTTGAGCACCCTCAGGGCTGCACCCTGGCCTTTGCCAGCCCCGAGGACGGGGAATCGGCAGCTCTTGCAATAAAACATCTCTTTGGGGCTGGAGCATCACGTGTTGCCCACCCAACCAGCGTCGAGAGCCAAACCTCACCAGCCAGAGCTGCCCCAAACAGTCCCGACATGCACCCAGCTCCCGGGATGGGCTCTGGGCAGCGGCTGCCCCCGGGGACCATGTCCCGGAGGGGCTGGGGGGCGGGAGGCCCAGTGTCCTCGCTGACGTCACAGCTAAAAGTGGGTTATTTTGCAAAAAACAGCTCCTGACAGGTCCTTTTCCCTACGACCGGCGCACCCCTCTCCAGCAATTACAGAGCTGTGCAGTAATTTGCTGGGGCGACTGGGTCAAAACCAGCCCAGACCTTCTGGAAGAACAAAAAGCAAAAATTGCATTAAGTAAATTAAAACTGTCTACTACCGAGTAGCTCGTTGTAGACAAGGGAGAATATGCAAAAAGCTCTGTTTGAAACCTACTAAATATTACCATGTGCTGTTTATAGGAAACAAATGGGGAAAGGCATGCCGCATCAATAAAACCCGAACATGGTTGGAGTTGGACTAAAGCCTTTCAACGGCTCTCGGTTATTGAATAACCGGCACCTTC